ATGCAAGTTTGGTAGGCCCTGGGGAACAGGCCTTTTAGACCTGTTCGGATACAGAACAGGAGTCGGATACAGAAGTCCTTTTCTGGGTTTGAGTATTTATTCCCTCTATTAACATGCATATATCAGTCTTGCTGCTAATCTGTATGTGAAAGGACATGATTCCTCATAGAGGAGGGTGGTCTACATCAAACTCACTGGTTTTGTAATTGTGCCCATGCCCTCAATTTTTGCTTGTGTCAGAGCTGAATTCAGGGCATCTGATGCATCTATCCCTTAATCTGTTTTCCTTATTAATAGTGGCACAACTTACAGGAGATATGTCAGGTTAGTTAAAATATTTGGTGTCTACTTTTCACTACAGATAAAAGTTGAAGAGTTGCTAGACCCCAGAAGAGAGTAAACATTATCTGTATTGCCAAACCCTACTTTTAAGCTGTGGTTGGCCACCAGAACCTGTTACACTGGGAATTGGAGCTCCAGTGCAACATGAAATGTGGATGGACCTACCATTTTGAATGTACCTCCATCCCACTGTCAGGAAATGCACTTCCCACTTGGCCTACTGCCACAGGACAACCTGGACAAGCTGCTCTTGGGATCTCTGTTCCTCTACAATTGGTGTTGTGTTGCCTGTGTTCTGGGATCCACTTGTAACACCTGTGATCCTGCATGCAGTGAGTCTGAATCATAAAGTGGTTTTGAAATAGAGTTGGCCCCCTCTCCCTTCCTTGATGTGACGGTAGTTAATTTGGGGGGAAGGAAAATAAAGCTTGTTCCTCAAGTCACCTTTCTATACCAGTTAAACATCAACAACAATAATGCCATTCTCTGGGTGAAAGGATATTAGGTAGCATTTTTCTTCCCAAAAGGCGTAGAACTTCAGTCAGTAAATAGAGGATCAATGATAACCATAATCTAGGGTAGTTAAATACCACACTGAATGGCGCCTAAGGCACTCAAGTAGAAATTTGAAAATGCACATCTTTATTCCTCCCTCTACCAGTTGCATAGAACCTGTTTTATTTATTTATTTTATTTTTATTTTTTATTTTTTCCTTTTTGTCTTTTTTCGTGACGGGTAACGGGATCGCAACCCTCGGTGTCGCGCCCGTACTGCGACCGGCAACGGGATCGCAACCCTCAGTGTCGCGCCCGCACCGCGTTCAACCAGTGAGCGGACCAGTCTCTATATGGGATCCGAACCCTCGGCGGGAGCGCTGCCGCACTCCCAAGCGCCGCACTCTACCGAGTGTGCCACCGGGCCAGCCCGAACCTGTTTTATTTATCTGTTAAAAAGGCATGTCCATGGGCCGGCCCGGTGGCGCACTCGGTGGCGCACTGCTACAGTGCGCCACTTGGGAGCGCGGCGGCGCTCCCGCCGAGGG